ATCATGGAATGCCAGTTTAATAGAACAAAGTGTTCTTGCATTGAGGGAGTACTTAAGTGGAGGCTCAATGTCCATCTGCTACCTTAATCCTAAACCTACGAATATATGCACATAGATCTGTTTCCCCAGCATCATATATAAATATATTTACATATGTATATGCCTGTATTTGTATCTGTTTTTGTTTTTGTCAACCTTATTAGAGCTTTCTCAGTTTTATTTTGAACAACTAGTTTATTGTTTCACTGATTTTACAACTATTTCATTTATTTTAGTTCTTTATTATTTCTTTCCATTGGTCTTAGGTTTATTTTGCTCTTATTATTCTAGGTTCTTGAGATAGGAACTTAGATTGCTGATTTTAGGCCTTTCTCAATTTCTGATGCAAATATTTCATACTATAAGTATCCCTTCAGCACTGCTTTAGATATATCTTAGATATTTTGGCATGTTATATTTTAATTTTCATTCAAGGTGATGCAGTTTTATGTTTTTTTACCCATTGAGACTTTGATCCATGGGTTATTTTGAAGTATGTTGCTTAATTTTCAAATATTTAGAGATTTCCCTATTGTCTTTGTTATTGATTTCTACTTTCATTCTATTATGGCCGAAGAATATGTTCTATAAATTCAGTTCTTCTGAATTTGTTGAGGTGTATTTCATAGCTATTGTTCTATTTTGAAAAGCCTAATAATGTAATGTCAGCAATTTTCTTCAGAACAGGTCTCTACTCATTAAGAGCAAAGGAGAAGGAAGGAAGTGAATGTCTCAGAGAAAAAACTAATTTATAGAACTATTAGCCCACACAATCCTTGTGCTCATCTACCCTGAGACCAGAAGAACTAGATGGTGCCTGGCTACCACTACTGACCATTCAAACCAGGGCTACAGTAGCTGTATCCCCTGTTACACTGTGAGGATGGCACAGGACTGAGCAGTGTTTCTTTCTGATGTGCATAAAGTCGCTATGGGTTGGAATCGACTCAGTAGTACCTAACAAGAATAACAACAATATAATTGTCGAAAGTTGTTGGATAAAACTAAAATTCTTTTAAAAAGTCCAGCATATTGGACTTGTACCCTGAGAGAAATAAATACCCTTTAAGCCAGCGGTTCTCAACCTGTGGGTCACGACCCCTTGGGGGTTGAACGACCCTTTCACAGGGGTCGCCCAATTCATAACAGTACCAAAATTACAGTTATGAAGCAGCAGCAAAAATAATTTTATGGTTGGGGGGGTCACCACAACATGTGGAACTGTATTTAAAGGGTCGCAGCATGAGGAAGGTTGAGAACCACTGCTTTAAGCCTTGAACTGAAATTCCCTGAAGTCACCTTTTAATGAAAGAGCAGATTTGCACACAAGCAAAAAGAGTGGGTGGGCATAGTGAAGAAATAAGACTGGCCACAGGCTTATCCTTGTTGAAGCTGGGTCGGGATACATTAGGGGTTCTTATATTAGCCGCTCTACTTTTTAATAGGTCGTAATTGTTTTATAATAGAAAGTCTTTGTTGTTGTTTGTTTTTTAAGGGTCATCTTACCATATTAATATGACATCCTACCAATGGATGCTATCTTCGTGAGTGTATGTATGTTCAGTCCAAGGCCCCAACCATAGCAGTTCTCAGCCTCATTCTGCTGAGGTGCTTGGTCTCCGTCCAGCCTTAAAGCACTTGTAGAATGATATCTTCCCAGCTCTGTCTACCTCCCCAGTCTTTGCCCAGTCACAATAGCACAGAACCCCTTAAGGTACCAGGCTGGGGTAACAGCTTTGGTTTGTTACACTCTTGGGGTGGCACAAAGGTCTGTTACAGGATTTCTGCTTGTCATTTTACATACATGGCTGTGATGAGTCTCACCACAGTCCTTCACGGGAGGAGTCAGCTATCAGTGGACGACACAGTGGTAGAGTTGTGACCCTTGGGGGAGCAGAGAGTATACCAAATACTGAGGAATTTAGGTGCCAAGAAAAGTTCAATAAATGAAAAAAACTTGTGGAAAGGAGAAGGAAGAGTATCCTGTGTCCTAGGCCCTACTCAGGAGAGGTGAAGCTAAGTTCAAGGGCGGAGGGGAGCTCTGGAGAAGTGAGTGCGTTTGGCATGTGGAGGAGTGAGGCAGCGAGGGTCGCTGGTGTTTGCAATGGAGAGGGACTGGGAGGAGAAGGAACCAGCAATTCGATGGGGCAGCTCCCTTGACCAACCTGAAAGGGAAAGGGCAGGGAGAGGTTGTTAGCAGGTGTGGAACAGCTGGATGAGAAAACCAGAGGAGTCAAGGCTCTCCGCTGAGGCCCGTGGGACCAGGAGAAAGGGCCAGCCTGCCTTGACTGGGCTGAATGTTCCGGCCAGGAGCCAGGAGCCCTCCTGCTCCACTAGCTTCATAGTGCCCAAGTAGCTGTCTGAGAGGAATGTTTTGCATACTTCACTAGAAGAAGGATAGCACGGAGGCCCGTGCTCATCCTCCTGGGCCATGCCACTCCCCAGCCTGTCCTTTTCCTTTCCATCCTTGTGATTGTGAGGTTAGGGCTGCGGAACAGGAAACCTCCCTTGTGGGTGCCCAGGTGTTTCCTCACACACAGGCCCACCATCTCTGAGGGCAAGACGGAGGTGTGTCATCGGGGTCCTACACTAGAGAACAGGCAGGGGAGCTCGGAGGGGTGCCTGCAGCTCCTCCAATCCCGCTGTGGGAGCAGGGCCTGAAACGAGCAGCAGGTGCCACTTTGGAGACAGGCACGTGGGTCAGGGCCCTCACCCCTCCACACACAAAGCCATCGGTGTTACCACTGTGACAGTGACAGCAAAGGGAGGCAGGTGTTAGAGGGGGAGCGTGGGAAAGAAGGAAGAGAAGAACATGGAGAGGGGACAGACTGCGCCCTGGGGCTGGACAGGAGGATGCGCCTAGGGCTGCCCAATGTCTTGTGAGAAGATCTTTGACTTCACAGGCCTCTTTCAATCTGTGTGCAATTGGTAGCCGCCCTGAGAGCAATGGGTGGGCTCGTGGTGTACATACTCTGAAGCTAAGTGTACACCTGGCTCAGGAGCCCGCAGTCTTCCGGGGCAAAGTCTGGGAACTAGCTCGATGCCCCTTTTCATGATGTTCCCTCCGTAGCTGGCCTGAGCCTGCCCCTTGTAGCTGGCAGCTGGTGGCCCCTTCAGCCTTGTTGGGCACAGGGGATGTGTGCTGTCCCCAAGGATGGCTGTAGAAGGAGAAGTTGTTGATGAGGACCTAGTGGGCGCCTCCGTGGGTTTGTCATGCAGGAGTGGGTGGCACAGATTCAGGCCACTTCCTTAAGGCAGGATCATGGCCTGGATGCAGGTCAGTCTAGCTGCCTCAGTTTCCTCCTTCACACAATGGAAAGAATAAAAGCCTTTATCTCCCAGCATGGTTATGAGGATTAGATGAGATAAGAGAGTAACCGTTAGCACATGGCTTAGATAGGACATGGCACGTGCTCAGTAAATATTCTCACTCCCCCATTAAGTCAATACAGACTCATAGCAACTCTATAGGGCAGAATAGAACTGCCTCCGGGGGTTTCAGAGACTAACTCTTTATGGGAATGGAAAGCCTCCTTTATTCTGAAGAGCAGCTGGTGGTTTTGAACTGCTGATCTTGCAGTTAGCAGCCCAACTCATAACCACTACACCACCAGGGCTCCTACCAGCAAATTTTAGCTGCTATTAATGCCATTGCTTTATCACCAAAGCCAGAATTATAATGAAGATAACAAAAGTGTAGTGTAACACATCTGATGACATTAGGACCATTTTTGGTTCATAAACAGGCGAGGCCTTTCTTTAGACACCAATTTGAAATCAGGGGATTTCTTCAAGATGAGCCCCTTTCTCAGCCTGTCTGCCTTTCTATCCTAGATGGAGTGGCCGTCCTACCTGCCCCTCAGAACCTCTCTGTACATTCAACCAACATGAAGCACATCCTGACGTGGAGCCCGGTGGTTGTACCTGGACAAACAATATACTATTCTGTCCAGTACCAGGGGTAAGGTTCCTACTGCTTATTATTATTTGTATTGTTTTTATCCTTCGGATTACAGTTGTCTCCTGTGCCCCTTGCCAAGGACTCATGGAGGCTCTGGAAAGTCAGGGAGGGAAGACCTTGATCCACTGCAGAGGCAGCGGGAGCGGTGAAGAGAAATGGGAAACTATGTTATGAATTTGACCGTGAACCCTCTGGAAACACAAATGTTTGCAACATTGTGAGGGAGATTCTTTTCAGCAGTTAGCCACTGTCCAATGCTGAAGAAAACCTGAAGAAATGAGCTTGACTCTCATTTGAGATGGGGACAGTTTTAGAGGCTTAGATACTGATGAGGTGGGGGAGCAGGGAGGTGTTCCAAATCATGTGAACTTAAAGGCCAGCTGGTCCAGGGGCTAGGTGGGCTGGACTTTTCTGCAGGTCTCCAGGCTCAGGCTATAGGAGAGGGAGAGGGACACAAAAGATGGACAGCGTATTGTATTGAGAATGACTACAAACTAAGCACCTATCCCTGTTGGGTTGCTCCCAGCAAGGTTGGCAGTTCAAAATCACCAGTCACTCTGTGGAAGAAAGACAGGGTTTTCTCCTCCCGTAAAGAATTACAGCCTCAGAAACCCACAGGGGCACTTTACCCTGTCCTATGAGTTAGAATCCACTTGATGGCAGTGGGTTTTTGTTCTCGAAGTACTTATGTGCGTAGGCATTCTTTTAGTCTCAGGGATTTAGTTCCCGGATATGGGTGCTTACAAACACTACGTAGGTAAAGAAACGAAGGTACAGATTTGCATTGCGCAATATGGTAACTACTTGAATTAATTAATTTAAACGTACTGAAATAAAAATAATGTTGTTGGTCCTCAGTCACATTAGCCACATTTCGAGCACTCGGTAGCCGCAGATGGCTCTCGCTGCTATCATGCCGATTCTGGCTCCTAGCCACCAACCGCACGGCACAAGACAGACGGAGAATGTTTCCGCCACCATGGAAAATTCTTTGGGGCTCATTGCTCTAGATGATTGCCTAAGTATCGTGCTAGCTCGAAGCTAAAGGTGATCTGCCAGAGACTTGATTCTGTGGCTCCTTAACATGAGGCAGTCAGGGAAGACTTCTCTGAGGAGGTGATAATTAAGCGAGAGGAGCCAGTCATGAGAGGAGTTCGGGGAAGTAGAGCCTTTGGAACAGAGTAAACACTAGTGCAGAGGTCCTAGGCTGAAAGAACCCACCGTGTTGGAGGAAAGAGCCTGGATTCCAGTCTAAGCGCTCTGAGAAGCCACGGAGGAGAGAAGAGCCATGGCCTGGTGAGTGCGGAGCAGTTGAAAGTATGGCAGATGTCTCCTGTGGAATGCCAGTTCAGAAGGTGGCAGTGACTGAAATCAGAGTGGTGGCAAAAGAGCTGGGCAGACCTGACTGGACTGTGCCAGGCCTCGGCAACTCTTCTCTGGCCCTGGGCGTGAGGGAGGGTGTGGCTGGGGAGGGAGGAAGGTGGTGCAAGCAGATACTTTGCTGATCTCCCCAGAGTAGGGGAGAAGCTCTTTGGAGGCCTAGAGTGATGCTGTGCCCCATCTTCTTGGCCAGGGAGTACGAGAGCCTGTACCTGAGCCACATGTGGATCCCCAGCCACTGGGACTCGCCTATCGCAAAACCTGAGTGCGATGTCACTGATGACATCACTGCCACTGTGTGGTACAACTTCCGGGTCAGTGCCACGCTGGGCTCTCAGACCTCAGCTTGGAGCATCCTGGAGCACCCCTTTAATCGAAACTCAAGTGAGTTCTGTTTCTCTTTACCCTTCCTGCCTCCTACCCCTTCCTCCAGGACCATGCTGACCTATATTTTCCAGACTCTCTATAGCATCAAAATACTCTTATATAGAGGATCAAGAATGCGAACAACCATAATTCGTACATCCTAAAAGTTGCCAACTTCTTCCCACGTGCCCTGCTTCCTCATGTTCTCCAGCTTCGGAAGAAGCTCCTGGCAGGCTCGGGAAGAGGGCTAGGTGGAGGGAGTCAGAAGCAAAACTGCTCTGGGAAGGGGGGAGCCAGGCTGGGACGGCGCTTTTCCACCCCATGAGACTCAAGAGTCCAGCCTCTCATCCGGGGTCCTCGTGAGCCCACATTCACTGCCCGCATGGGCATCCTCTTGGAGCAAAAAGGTCTAGACTTTTACAGAGCCACCAGAAGCGGTCACCCTTCTCAGACCACTGGGAAAAGACAAGAGGCCCAAGGGGAAGGGCCCTTGGGCAAAGACCCCTGTGGAAGGCCCCCTGGCCAGGCCCTTGAGAAGGTGGTTTCCTGGAATGGTGGCGATGGTGGCGGTGGCGGTGGTGGTGGTGGTGGTGAAGCTTCAGGGTAGAGGAGTGAAAGTGGAGTGGGGAGGAGCCAGGCAGCTCCATCTCTGAGGCAGGCCTGACTGAAACTCTGCGATGGACCGTTACCTTCTTTGGGCTCAGTTCCACCCGAGATATAAGCTGGGAGTGGGGTTATGATATAAAGGCTGTATAGACCACTGTCCAAATAGTCTCTGCATAGAAGCTATCATTTTCTCTAGTCCTGTCCTCAGTAAAGATGAAAATCCAAAAGCGAACCAAACGCTGCCGTCTAGTTGATTCTAACTCTTGGCAACTCGGTACAAGGGTTTGGAGCCTGTAAATCTCTGCAGGAGCAGACGGACGGCATTTCTCCTGCAGGGCAGCCGGTGGGTTTGCACTGCTGACCTGCAGTTAGCAGTCAGTGCCCACCTGACAGCACCATCAGGGCTCCTTCTAAAAATGAGCACAAAGGACCCAAGTTTAGTCATGTTTGACCAAATAGCAGAGAAATCAGAGACCGCTTTTCCTTCGGAGCTTTTTCGGAGCGTCCCACCAGTGCTGTGGCCATGTGAAGCTTCTGAACTGAGTGTATTTTGCACAGATGGCCCCAGACTTCCCAAATCTTCCTGTCCCGTCTCCAGGCAGCTCCTCAGATGTCTGAGCTCACGTTCTCCGACTGAGAAGTAAAGCTGGCGGCAGATGGGCTGCCCTCTGATAACTCCCTCCAGGGATTACATTTTCCAAGTGTCTGCTGACCCCAACCCCTGAGCTCTAACCTCAAACACAGCCTACCCTTTCCCCAAGCTAAGGCCAGCAATCTGGGGTGACCCTTCTGGTCCTGCAGTGTTTGGATCTGAGGGGCAAGCCTGGATCTCTTATCAGCTGCCAGAGAGTAGAGAATGCCTGTGGGGGGCCCTTCTGTTCTTGGCCCACGGCGGAGAATGTATCCACAGAGGTTGCTAGTCTCTGTTAAGACTCCTGAAGGCAAAGTGTGGTGTTTGTGCTCACGTTGTATTTCCAGAGTTGATTATTGGAATTGGTAAAGCTCTCTAACACGCCAACAGTTCCAGTCAGAATATGAGAGTAGAATGGCCAACCCACTCAGAGGCTGCCAATGGGATGAGTTTTGAAAGTCATCAACAGTCTGTATCTGTCACTGATCTGTGTGAGTCAAAGGAAGGTACATACCTCCGACAGGTGTGGGGCCAAGGAAGGGGCCAAGACAGGACCGTGGCTGTCATCAGTCAGCCTGAGCCCCTGGAGGTGTTTGGCAAACCTGAAGAAAGATGAGCCAAGATGAAAAGAAATTTCAAGCATGGAGTACAAAAATTTGAAACCAAATTGAAAAGAAAATTGCTTCCTTGAACATTCAATAATTTTTCTACGTGTTTCCTGGGGAAAGAACAGTGGACTTTATTGCAATCAAGAGGTGGCAAAAGGGAATTATAGTAAGTCTTTGTCGACTTTTTTCTTCATCCGTCATTTAAAAAGCCATTCCCAGGCCCCTGCTGGGAACTGGAGAGTGTTCCTGCGCATGTCTCCACATGCTGTGGAGGTACCACCAAGCCCGTCCGTTTTCCTTCAGGCCTGGCCTGTTTCCACTAACCACTTTGTCACCACGTTCTCAGGAAATCAGTCCTGACTGGGGCTGGCGTTGATTCTCCTTTTGCTTTGTCAATAGCCGTCCTCACCCCACCCAAGACAGAGGTCACCAAGGATGGCTCCCACATGGTGATCGAGCTGGAAGACCTGGGGCCTCACTTAGAGTTCAACGTGGTCTACTGGAGGAGTGAGCCCGATGCCGAGGTGAGCCTGACAGCCTGGGCCCCTGAGCCAGCCTCTGTTTTTCTGAGACTGTGGATGAGGAGGAGGGGGCACGGGCTCTGAGAGGTG